ACAAAACAAATCCCCCCCCCCCCCCCCCCCCCCCCAAAAAAAAAAGGGGGGGGGGGAGGGAAGGGAGAGCCTCACAAATTCTCAGTCTGTTGAAAGTTTTATTTCAGTGGTGTTGCAGCTCATGGTGCATATAAGCCTATTACTGAATTCCTCTTTATCTTTGGGGGAAAGAATCCATAGGGCAGTAGTGTTCAATGATGATGATTAATCATTGTACAGATCGTAAATATGTAAAATATGTGCAGGCAACTTAGCTACTGTGTACTATGAACAAGGCAACCTGGAGATGGCCATGCTTAATTACAGGAGAGCTATAACCTGTGATGCTGGATTCTTGGAGGCATATAACAATCTGGTGGGCCTTAATTATTTCATCTTCTACTGTGTAGCTGTTCAGTACAAAGTTAATTTCTTCAGGTCTTAATTATCTACTCTACCCACTCTATTGCTTTTAGGGTAATGCTCTGAAAGATGCTGGTAAAGTTGAAGAAGCAATTCATTACTATCGTGTAAGCTATATTCACTTTTTGTGTGGATACATGCTTTCTTTTTTCTCTATCGTGCTATTTTCTTAATCTATTCGTTTGGTGCTTACAGCAATGCCTCTCACTTCAGCCTAACCATCCTCAAGCACTGACTAATCTTGGAAACATTTATATGGAGTGGTAGGGTTTACTTGATTGAATTAATTATTTTCTTTTGCTGTTACCCCCTTTTGGGAGGACTGGAGATGCTCAGATCAAGTAATCTTCAGAGTTGTCATTCCTGATTCTCTAGGAACATGATGAGTGCTGCTGCACAGTGTTACAAGGCAACTTTAGCTGTGACAACTGGGCTTTCAGCTCCTTTTAACAATTTAGCCATAATATACAAGCAGCAGGTACATGTTTATATGTAATTTTGAAGAAACAATAATTTTCATGTCAGTGAAAGAAAAGCTGTTCGGACGGCTGTATGTGGCTGCAAAGATAGCTAGAAGTGATTGTTCTCTCTTGACAAATTAGTGCGCTCCCTTTGCAGGGTCTTGACCAGACAAGTGATTATTTTTCTTTTGGTTAACTTACAGGGTAACTATGCAGATGCCATATCTTGCTACAATGAGGTACTCAGGATTGATCCCATGGCAGCTGATGGACTAGTCAATAGAGGTAACACATACAAGGAGATTGGTAGAGTTAACGAAGCTATTCAGGACTATATGCTAGCTATTACCATAAGACCAAATATGGCAGAGGCTCATGCAAATTTGGCTTCATCTTATAAGGACAGGTTCATTGTCTAGTTTGCAAGCTTCAAATAGTTAATGGTCCTTTCTCGTGCGTTTTGTTTATGTCCATTTTGCTCATTTGAAATGCTTTCATTCAATCTTCTGCAGTGGCAATGTGGAGGCAGCTATAAAAAGCTATAGACAAGCTTTGATGCTACGTCCCGACTTCCCAGAAGCAACTTGTAATCTTCTTCACACGTTGCAGGTATCTTCACTCATCAGTTGCCAATGTTTTCTTGGGTGGAGTTATCAAAGAGTTCATGAAATATTTGCTGCCTTTTTTAATGTCAGCGTGATCTACCTGACCTGCAAATATTAAGCTCATAAGTTAATATTATCTGTTAATGGACTATATGCTTAAGATATGTTTCAACAACTAAAATACTTTATTTAAATGACAGTTTCACGCTGTGCTCTTTTTCTCCTTTGTTTTTAATAGGTTTTATGTTAAGACTTAGATTTGTCTTGTGTTCGTTTCTACCTCCGATGCCAATTTACCAGTTTGGAAGGAAATACTTAAGTTTAGTATTTTGTGTTTGTAAGGAACTTAGGTAATTTCCATGCGCATCTCGTGCATGAGGAACAATAATTAGCTTCATAAGACATTACTTTTTCTTGAGCTGGTATTCTTAGGTAGGGATGGACACTAGAGTGATATGTTGCTTTCTGGACTGAGGCTTAATTTGTACCTGCTGATTGGATGAATGTTTGCTGGAATTCTATTTTTCTAACACACTTATTATATTTGATTTTATACTTCCTAGTGTGTCTGTGATTGGGATGATCGAGAGAAGATGTTTATTGAAGTTGAGGGGATCCTGAGAAGACAGATTAAGGTATCTCAGCTTCTCATTCAACCATGACATGTCGGTATTGTAAGCTATATGTTGATCACTGTGATACTGATTCATAATTTCCTTAATTGTTTTCTCTACCACAACTTTGTCGTAGATGTCAGTTATCCCAAGTGTACAGCCTTTTCATGCAATTGCTTACCCTCTCGATCCACTGCTAGCTCTAGAAATCAGGTGAGGGATTTTCTTTTGGATCGATGGAAAAGAATGATGTGACTTCCTAACTAACCTTTCCTTTGATCATACAGTTGTAAGTATGCCCAGCACTGCTCTGTAATTGCAGCTCGTTTCTCACTTCCTCCTTTCAGTCATCCTCCTCCATTGCCAATAAAGGGTGGTAGCAGGAGTGGTCGGCTTAGGGTTGGGTAAGTCTCCGATCAGCTGTCTACTTGCTTACATCTTTCCTCGGACACTACAGTTACTCACAAATGTTACTAGTATAATGAGAATTTTTAAATGTGCCTAGATATGTGAGTAGTGATTTTGGCAACCACCCACTATCACATCTGATGGGTTCAGTGTTTGGCATGCACGATAGAGAAAATGTTGAGGTATGAATACCATATCATTTTTAAGATGCATTGGTACTGTTATGATTCCCCCCCCCCCCTCATCTCCTCCCTCCGCAGTTCCTATTAAACCTACAAGGACTCCTATTACCAGGTGTTCTGCTATGCTTTGAGTCCAAATGATGGCACTGAGTGGAGGCTCCGCATTCAGTCAGAAGCAGAGCATTTTGTTGATGTATCGTCGTTGACATCTGATGTGATAGCTAGGATGATTAATGAGGATCAAATACAGATCCTAATCAATCTTAACGGTTATACTAAGGTAAGATATCGGTTCCTAACCTTGTTAATGAGATCATATTCTTGTTTGTAGCTGAATTCATTTGCTTGTGAATGCAACCCATTAAAAAATAAAAGAGAACCAGAAAAAAACGGAGCCATCATTGTTGGGGATTTTCCTCGGAATTATGGAGATCAGGTTACTTGGATAAGCATGACCTTGGGCTATGAGTATTTCGAAAATGTCATCTCACATTTTTTCATTACGCAACTGCAGGGTTCTGGATGGTCTCATGAGCTTTACTACTACAATTTTGTTGTCATATGACCGCGTATTTATTCTGCAAAGTTTTGCATCGGTAAGCTACTGCTCATCTTTAACCTGCTAATTATGTTTTGTAGGGGGCCCGAAATGAGATCTTTGCAATGCAGCCTGCTCCTATCCAGGTTTCGTATATGGGGTTTCCTGGAACCACTGGAGCTAACTATATACATTATTTGGTTACAGATGAGGTATTTTACTTATTTTCCGTTTTCTTATGATCTTGACATACTTCTTTTAATACACGGCAGTTTGTTTCACCTACACAGTACACATTTAAACTTCACATTATTTGCTCTTCTTTCTTGTCCTTGATATTGCTTCTCCTGTATACTTGGTAGTTTGTGTCACCTACGCGGTACTCACATATTTACTCAGAGAAGCTTGTCCATCTCCCTCATTGTTATTTTGTCAATGATTATAAGCAAGTGAGTTCTCGGGCTCAAGCTTCTGAGATTCTTATTTTGAATTTTTTGTAATTGTTCTCCTTCCCAAATGTTGATGGGTTTCATGCCATTGTCTAGAAAAACCGTGACGCGTTAGATCCAAGCTGCCAACCCAGGCGCTCAGATTATGGGCTGCCAGAGGACAAATTCATTTTTGCTTGTTTTAATCAGCTCTACAAGATGGATCCTGAGATATTTAAGACATGGTAGGTTCAGATGGCTTTTATATTGGTATATATACTGTTGGTTAAGACAAGTTGCATTATACTCTTTAGTTTGATATTTCAGGTGCAATATTCTTAAGCGTGTACCAAACAGTGCTCTTTGGCTGCTTAGATTTCCAGCTGCAGGGGAAATGAGGGTTCGCGCACGTATGTTTCTCTTCACATTACTTCTGTTACTTTAAGCTTGTGTGATGAGGCTTTTGAAATATTATTCTATGGAATCTGTTACCGGAGATATCCTTAATGTGATTTATTCTTTTCCAGATGCTGCTACACATGGTGTGCAGCCGGATCAAATTATTTTCACAGATGTTGCGATGAAACAAGAGCACATCAGACGCAGTTCCTTGGCAGATCTTTGCCTTGACACGTTAGAATATTACAACTTTTCTTGCATCTTCCTTTTGCAATATCCTGTGTTGATTCAACTCATGCCGATGAATTTGGTTTCTTTTTCTCACAGACCACTGTGCAATGCACATACCACTGGAACAGATGTACTTTGGGCTGGTCTTCCGATGGTCACCCTTCCCCTTGAGAAAATGGCAACTAGAGTGGCTGGTTCGTTGTGTTTGGCCACAGGGGTTGGTGAGGAGATGGTTGTTAGCAGGTAGGTGTTTTCGACTTTGCAGGTTCCTATGATGGCTTGGACCTGACAAACATGTTCCTTTCTTAAGTTGATATTTCCATTGAATTGCACTTTAGAAGCTTTATTCAAGATACACGTGAACTGTTATCTTGTATGGCTGGCGGTCTGCTATTTTGGTATATATCTAGGAAAAATGTTTGGTACAAACTCAAACTGACCGTAAGACTGAACAATCTAGTATAATTTTATTCTGCTTGCGAAAATTGCATTGTGAAAAGGACATCCTACCTAATTTAAACCATATAAAGCTATAGTCTCAGACAGGGATGACGTGTGTAGAAACAAAGAAAAGGAGAGCATACTTTTCTTATCCATGTATCTCTACCTTTTCGGGCTTTGTTCATTTTGATTTGCTTTATGTTTTACAGTATGAAGGAGTATGAAGAGAAGGCAGTGTCACTGGCACTAAATCGTCCCAAGCTCCAAGATCTCACCAATAGACTCAAGGCTGTGCGCCTGAGTTGCCCTCTGTTTGACACAGAGCGCTGGGTGAGTGATCCAATGCCACGATATACGACTGTTATTCAATGCTTATGACGTCAAGTACCTTAAGATTTGCTGAACCCCCGTTACAAATGTGTTGCTTTGAGTGCTATTCTTTTAGTTAACAATGCTTATTCTTTTCTATGTATCATTAGGTACGGAATCTGGAGCGGTCTTATTTTAAGATGTGGAATCTCTATTGCTCTGGCCAACATCCTCAACCGTTTAAAGTGACCGAGAACGACATGGAATTTCCTTATGACCGGTAGATGTAAAAACAGTAATATAAACGGGATTGTAGATAATACTTAGAATGTGAAGAGCTATTTATTCTAAAGGTTGACTAGGTGTCTCACTGCTAGTAATGGTATTTAACGGTGAGTTTCTATCTTATCTTGTACTGCTTCTTTTAACTCCACCCCAGGAGCTCCCCACTCTACTCCCTTGGTGACTCGAATCATAACCTCAAGGTTGAAGGCGGAGGTTGCTTATACTTGAATAAGCCTCTCTTGTCCTATCTTATCTTGTGATGTTGAGTTATTAGTCGTAAGTAGAGTATCCATTCTAGCTGTCTGAAAAACTCCAGTTTGCCCTTCTTCCATGGTAAAACCACAGTTACCTGACTGCAAGTATGCCCTTTACCTACAAACACCCAACAGTGAAGCAACTGCACAGTGGTTCGAAAAGAACGATCAGCTATATCCACTTGGGGTATTTAATTTGCATTCCTGTGGAATGATTCATCTTGATTGTATTTGTTTATCTATAAGCATTTATTGATGTTTACAATTTGACTTTGTGCAGGCCTTAGCTGAAGAATGACCCTAGTAAAATCATTGAACAATGGTTAGTTTGTTAGTGGAAATATGGTACAGAGGTTTTCGTAAATATTAACTATATTACAAAGATCCACATTTTCTTGAGAATATGGGACTGCTGTTTTCACAGCTGGAACCGTGACCTACTGGTCATGTGACTACAACTTTACCAGTTACGTTAAGGCTCTCTTAGTTTGAGTAAGAAATAGTTTTCAACAAAAGTCTTAATACATTTTTGTGAAGGTCTGAGGATTTGAGCATATGTGCTGCACACTTGTTCGATTAATCCGAAGTCGTGTTGCCCATTATATGTGAAACGATTTCTACTAGGAGTTTCTTCATTCCCTATACTCGAATACGAAGCCTCTGGTTAAAGATGTGGTAGGGTTTTTGATACCACTTGGTGATGAACTGATTAAATCCCACATATAAAGGGAGAGTTTCACCATTTTCATCCTTTGGTACCACCAATATGGCCACAAGGATACACCATGCAAAAGAACTTAAAAACTATTTTAGTAGAATCATGCAAATTAAGAGTGTAGATCTTATAAATAAAATCTTAGTATGAACAATGATCTTATGATTATAACACATCATGATGCTGTTTATTAAATCATGATTTTTTTAGGTTTAACTCTACTCTAGACGCTTCGCGTCCCTAGTTAACTCCCTCCTTAGGCCTGGGCATGCTATCTTGGGGCGATGACAACATTTTGTAATCAACCTTTGGTAAAACAATCATAACTTTTTCGTAGGTCACCTAATCTTGTGCATGATCATTTGAAACTTTAGTCCATCTCTTTTCTTTTGGACCAAATCTATAAATTGTTTTTGCTAGAGTTTCATTATTTTTAGCCCGATAAATATCTAACAACAAAATAATGGAGTTTTTACGGTGTATTTGTTTTATTTTTTCTTAGATTCGATGAAAAATTATTTCAATTATAAATTTCTTCTTTTTCTGAGCTAAATATGTAAAGAGTTTGGTTGAAACCCCGATAGTTTTGGCTTAATAATGAAAGTATTAGACAAATTTAATTTGTTTAACAATTTCAGCATGTAATTTATTGATCATTTCTTTAAATATCATATCGTTATACTAGGTCCACAAACATAATTGGTGTGGGTATATATCACATATGTTATATTCTTTTGGATAAATTATAAAAATAATTCTTAGACAATGATAGGTAAATATATTTGACACCTCATAAATGGACGTCAATTGGATCGAACCCTTTGTTAGGCTATGAATCTCTCTTTGTAGCTTTTTGCCTTTTTACCACATGTTAAATCTCTGCTTGTGAATAACAATGCATTTTGTGCCACAAAATTGATTGTGTTCATGATTATATGCTTCTTCGATTGAAAGATCGACCTTCAAGAAATAATAAAATGATTCTATAGTTGTAACGATCTGTTCCCGTCGTTATAGAAAAGTCAACGGGGAAAATTTGGGGCCATAAAACTTTTTCGTAGTATTTGAATTTTTTTCAACCTTGGTCCAGATTTGGACGAAATCAGAATCATTGAGGTGTAGGAAAATCTGGTAACAATCGGGTGAATCATTTATGATTTTGATTACATGAGTAGTTAGATAACTCGTTAAGGAATTCGTACGACTTTACGAAATTGAATTCGGGCGAGTAGAACTCCCGGAATCGATCTTAGCGTAAAGAGTATTTACTGAGCGTCGTGGGTTAGAGGTGTGTTGTGAAATGAGGATTTTGGAATTCTTGAAATAACTCTCTGTCTCGAGAATGCCGCTTTGGCGCTGGATTTTGCTGCTTTGGCGGGGACACTATGACGGGGTGGTGGCCGCTGTGGCGGGCCCGACGCGAATTAAAGTCGTTAATAAACCCCTAAACGATTTTATTATGCACTTTTTGACTTTTTGAGCTAAGGAACGACTCCTAGTCGACTCATACTCGTTTTTCACCATTCTTGAGGCTAAATGTAAGCTTTTCACTCCCTGAATCCGTCTTTCGATCCGTATAATGTAATAGAATGGATGAGTATTGATGGGGGAGGGTTTTGTTATAGATTCTATGGTGGAAATAACCCTAATTTGAATAATTGGGATCATGAGTTTGATCTAGGGTTCATAGAATTGTTAGTAATCCGGGTAATTAATGATTGTTTATTGATTCCCGTATTATATTGATTTGTTTGTAGACCAAGAACAAGCGGAACGAATCCGGAAAGGGAAGAATCAAGTTTCTTAGGGGTTTCAAGCTTGTTTCGAGGTAGGTGATGGTTGTGATTCTATGATTGTGCGATGTATGTTTGTCTTGCTTCATTATGACACTTGTATATGTATGAATGTTGCAATGTTGATCACACTTGTTGTAAATGAAATATATAGTTGATGAATGCCATGAAATCATGACTTAAATGTATGATCTTGATGATATACTTGTGATTGTGATTATGGTGTGTGAATGAGATCGGTTGCCACGTTCTGGCATAAATATGGGATCGATTGCCACGTTCCGGCATAAATATGAGATCGGTTGCCACGTTTCGGCATGCTAACTGTTGGGTTTGGTTCCATGAGAGGACCAATGATTTGACATATAAACGTGAAGTTGTTCATTGTTCGTAAATGTTGATAATATTGTATATGTTGATATATTTGCATGTGATTATAATGTTATTTGACTTGTTTATGTTGCACTAGTGGGATAACCGCGTGATCCTACCAGTACATTGTGGTTGTGTATTGATTCTGCACTTGCTCTTATTTTTTTGTTGAGTACATGGCATCTTCAAGCGGTTATTAACAAACCTCACTTAGAAGATCAGTGATCGTCGTTCGAATTCAAGGGTGAGCAATTCTTCCGGGCTGCCATGAAATTCTCTTTCGTCTATGTCCACCATTTCCGGACTTAGACCTTGGTTTAGTTAGTTCGTTAGTATGAGGTTGTATCCCTTCGTGTTTAGACTTGGTTCATTGTTAGAATGTTTTGGTACATTGACTTTCAGGTTCTAGGTTATTCTTCCACATTATTAATTATTATTGTTAGACTTTTGTTAGAGTTTATGGGAACTCTATTTTTATTTCCGTAGTGTTTGATTAAATGCCTTAGTTTTTAGATTATTTGCTTGATTTGGGTTGTAGTAGTGGTTCTCCCACCGGAGTGTTAGTGTGGGTGCCAGTCACGACGGTTTGGATCGTGACAATAGTCTAAACAAACTCTTTACATATTTAGCCCGATAAATTTTTAACAACAAAATAATGGATTTTTTATGGTGTATTTATTTTATTTTTTCTTAGATTCGATGAAAAATTATTTCAATTTTAAATTTCTTCTTTTTCTGAGCTAAATATGTAAAGAGTTTGGTTGAAACCCCGATAGTTTTGGCTTAATAATGAAAGTATTAGACAAATTTAGTTTGTATAACAATTTCAGCATGTAATTTATTAATCACTTCTTTAAAATATCGATATCGCTATACTAGGTCCCAGGGACGGCTCTTACTTATAAAAATTAAGGCACATGCCTTAGCCCCCAGTTTTGGGAGGCCTCAAATTTTTATCAAGAACAAATTTTATATATATATATATAATTTTATTCTCCTTAACCCCACTCAAATAGAAGAAATCAAGAGAACGTTGTTTTGTCTTATTACATTTCTTTGCTAACTAATATTCACATTATTTATTTATTTTAAAACTCCTTTTGTGCTCTTTTTCTTCAAATCTTTCATAAGTTAAAGTAATATTCTATCCAAAATCTGAGTCATTAGTCGAACAATGTTGAACAAAGTGAATCACAATTTTTTTTAAAACTTAATTTTCAATCAAAGTAAGGTATATCATCAAGTTATCAACATCTTGAATCAGATTCTATGGTTCTAACTCTTATTTTTGTTTAAAGTTTGTCAACTTATTACTCATAGAAGTATGTTAACAATTCATATAATGATTGCTTTCGTAAAAGGATATTTTTCAGCATTGAATTGATAAAATCTTACCTAAAATTAATAAAAAAAGTACTAAAAAATCATCTATAAAAAAGTTGAAGTAATAATTTGCATCTAAACAATTAGAAAAATAAATTTTAAATAAATATGTATGAAATTTTTTAGGCTTCAATTAAAATTTTGCTTTAGATCCCCAATTACGTTGAGCCGCCACTGATAGGTCCACAGACATAATTGGTGTGGGTATATATCACATATGTTATATTCTTTTGGATAAATTATAAAAATAATTCTTAGACAATGATAGGTAAATATATTTGACACCTCATAAATGGACGTCAATTGGATCGAACCCTTTGTTAGGCTATGAATCTCTCTTTGTAGCTTTTTGCCTTTTTACCATATGTTAAATCTCTGCTTGTGAATATCAAGGCATTTTGTGCCACATAATTGATTGTGTTCATGCTTTTTCATGATTATATGCTTCTTCGATTGAAAGATGCGAACTTCAAGAAATAATAAAATGATTCTATAGTGTTAGTGAAAAATTACAAAATAACAGAATTACAAGATTATAATTGAAAATAAAAATGAAGAAATAAATCTCGTCAGACTAAATCGCAGAAATCTCGCTCTCTTTAAGGAGATTCAAGCTCACTGCAACAAATGTTTTTCACCGGTCCAGCAGTAGTTCTTCTTGACTTGTCCCCTCCAAGATACAACAACCTTAACACAAAGTATAACTCAACAA